TGGACATGTCCGCTGTTTTTTGTCAGGCATCTTTCCTCGTCATCTGACATGTTCAGAAAAAAGCTCTCTTTTCTGTCAACTGATGTGTGACATGACTCTTTAGGCCTGCAAACTGAAGTTGGGGGATTTAAAAGGAGCATTGCTGGACTCAGACTTCGCTATTCGTGATCTAGAAGATAATGCAAAAGCTTTCTTTCGTCAAGGCCAGGTTGGTTCTTATATAGGAGCAATTGTGTACTTTTCATCTAGTGGACTGCTGTATTGTGTAGATTATCTAATTTAGTGCCTGATTTGAATGGTGAGTTTTACTTTCTTAATGGTTTTTCAAAGTACATTTCAATCATACTTGTTAAAAGAGGTTCATCACACTTCTGCCATGGCTATCTCACTTACAGTAACCTCCTCGACAATGTTAATACTTGATACATCGTGTATTGTTCCAAGAAAAACATTGTAAGATTCAAAGTACGGCCAAAATTAGTATGAGGATTTGGCTCATAACTTTGCTATTATTATCTAGTTGATTAACCTGCAGTATGTGATGGTGTTATGAAGGAGGTTGGGGATTCTCATGTTTATGAAAACAGCACTACCTTTCTCAATATGTGTAGTAAATTTCTAAGTTATATCTCCTGAAAGTTGTAGGGATTCACTTCTATGCCGTTCTTGGTCATTGTTTTTTAATTTCTTTTCTTTCATTTTCAGACCAAGTTCTTTATCTTAATCTTGTGAACTCGTTCAATTTTTTGTTAATTTTGATCAGAGCATTGAAATGACATTCGTACTGCACTGCTTTGTAGCAAGTGTCGATCTTGCACTGCTGTGTAGTAAGTGTCAGGTTAAACACTCGATTAGTACCATTATATGAAGATATTTAGCTTTTCTTTCATTCTACTTTCCCACGTTGAATCTCACCCAGGTTTTAGTATCCAACATTAAATTATTGATGGGTTACTCAACCATTGTGGCACCAACCCTTAGACCAAATCTGAGAAATGCAGAGATTTCACTCATCCAACTCAAACTTTCTCTTATTTTTGGTGGTAATCGAGAGATAAACCCAAAATATCCCCACCATATGCCGAGCTTCATTATTACTGTAGTACCATGCCTTAGTTTCATTATTCTTTTTCTACCTTATCCTGAGCTTTAATATTATGATCAATTTGTACAATGACTCCCCAAAAGCTTATCTGGCGTGGTGAATTTAGTTTGATAGTATAACTTTTCTATAATAACTCCACTTCCACCTCGTACTTACAAGAGATGTCCTGTTTACACAGTATCTGTTTCGTTTTGATGTGAACAACCCAACTTCTTAAACTTTATTGTGAAGCTTTTGTGATGTATGGTAATTGATTTCCTGTTAATTCTTCAGGCATATATGGCACTTAATGATATAGATGCTTCAGTTGAAAGTTTCAAGAAAGCATTAGTATTGGAACCAAATGATGGTAGGCTCCATATATTTTTGATATTTCTGTCATAACTGCAAGATATAACAAGAGAAAAAGTGTGGTTTAAGGGAACTAATGGAAGGCCGTATTGGCATTCCTCCTTTTTGAAAATCTCTTTTTGTTTTTACCATTAAGTTCTGACTGCTGACGGTGTTGTTTTATGCTTTTTGTCATTCAGGTGGCATAAAGAAAGAGCTCGCTGCAGCAAAGAAGAAGGCTAGTGACTTTTCTTTATATGATTCTTTGATTGCACATGTAGACTTTTTTTCCAAACTCTCTGTGTATGTGATTAATAGTTACAATCATCTGCAGATTGCTGATAGACGTGATCAGGAGAAAAAGGCTTACTCAAGAATGTTCCAGTAAAGTTGATGCTGTCAAATGGTCTGTCCCTACTTAACGATGAGCGTTTCTTTATATTCAGAACAAATTGGTACTAACTTTTTGGTAGTAATTTTTGAATGCAGGCTTTGCTAGACGAGTTTATCACTTTATAAACTTCATGACCACATACTAGCTTATATACAGAGATTGGTTCAGGCTTCCTAGTTCGCTGCTTTTGATAGATTAGGAATCATCAGGTGATGAGCTCGATTAACTTTCCTTCATAAATCAGGTTTACTCGATTCAATTTCTCATTTAGCTCAACACTATCAGCTATGGAGGTCTTTGCTTGCGTTTTAATGATTGGTGTCTTTCTGTGCTTCAAGCTCAAGTAATCTCTGTTTTGATTTTCTACAGGTTTTGATGCAGAGCAGAAGAAATTTTCCAAGACAACAATTTTAGTAGGTCAAAGTTTGAACCAAATTTTGTTCTGAACATTTTTGTTTGCTGTGAAGCGAGGTTGTAGCTTGACATCATTGGTAGTGTTGACGAACACATCCAATATCATCCAAACTTGTTATATCTTTCTTACAAAAGGAAGTTCTTATTTGAACAAAAATGGATGGTTTTTTTTTCTTGATTAATATTTCATTTTTAGGCTTTTGGTCATCTCAATTGTTAGATAATCTGGCTTATGCTTTAGGTCAGGGAAGCAATCTCTGTCCAGTGTTGACTTGTGCTCAGTTTCTGGTCCTTGAACCTTGTTCTGCATCTCTTCCACCAGTTCCACCACCATTTATGAGTTCTCGCATTTTCTTTTTCCTTGATTGGTTGCTGGGGTGTACTTCTTTCAGTTTTCTTACAGCTTAGTCTCGGTTTTCCTGGGCTCCAAGCTTTTGTTCCTTTTGCCATTGAAACTCAGCCAATGAGCCAGTGAAGTCTCTTTTACTGCTCTTGTTACCGTGAGACTACTTTTTGTTTTTGGATTTAGCTTGGCGTTCTTCTCGTGTCCAGCTTCATCTGTTTTTTTTTTTTTTTTGTTTTAACGGTAGGTTTGTCCAGATTAACTTGATGTTTGGTCAAAGACCGATCATTTATGTCTGGATTATACTAGTATGGAGAAATAAATTTTTCATGGCTTGGCTTCAAAGTGTTGTCAAGATTTGAACTCAAGACGTCTAAATTTTTTACATGTATATATTACCACTTGAGTTATCCTTTGATCTATTATTGCTTGAGTTTGTCCCTCATTTCTGTAATTATTTGTGAATGATTATATGAAATCTGAGTTTAGGATATAGTGACAAATGAAAGACACATGATGAAAACTTATTTGAAAAAATATGGGCCACATATGCTCCTTGGTTACTTCAAATAAGCAACAATAATTAAATTCCATCTAACATGATCATCAGTTTACTCCTCATTTTTTTTTTAAATAATAGGATTAAAATATGGTTAAATATTTTTTTTTTTGGTCATTTCGCTCTTTGGTAGATTATGTTGAAACGTTTTTTTTATTATTTTAATAAAACATTTATATTAGTCCTACACATGTGGTATTTTAATCATGGGTTAAAGGTTGTCTAATTCAACTTTTTTGTGTAATTTAATCTTATATAATAAAGTAGAACGAAATTTGAATTCAAAAGACAAAGAGAGGTTCAGATCGTTTTGAGTCAGTATATAAACATATCCAACGGACAACGTAATTCTAACATAAAAAACGGTTCAAATTGATTCAGTATTATTAATTCGACGATCTTAATTAATCTACATTTCAACAATACTCAACTACATTCCTTTTATCTCTCTTTATTTCATTCAAAATATTGGAGAGATTGACTAAGACTCTACTACATTCTTTTTATCTCTCATCATCCCCATTTAAACTATTATAAAGTTTTGTTTAGATAGTTGTATATCTGTATATATTTATCTATACTAACAATATAGAGGTAATTTCAAATTTTCAAGATTAAAATTAATATTCTCAATTTAAAAAAAAAAAAGAGAAGAACTAAAATTTAATTAAAATTTAAATATACAGTTTAAATAACATCAAAATTCATCTAATCTAATCCCTCCCTTTCTCTCTCCTCTACGACAGACGCTCTCTCCAAAAACCCCCCTACACACACAATGACAATCTCTCTTGTTTTCCCCTACGACAATCTAGCTCACCTCACCACCGACAACAACCACTCATCCAGGTAAGCCCTTCTCTCTCTTTCACAACACACACACACATTCGAACCCTCTCCCCTCCCCCCCACACACAGAGAATTAGCAATACACACACTGTCAATCTTTATGCTCTCTATAAACTCTCTCTGCCGCTCCTTGAAGTAACAGTGCCTGTGGACGAGATCCAAGGTTCAACCAGCCTCCCTCCATAGGGATTCAATTCAAACATGGACAAGAAGCCCCAAAAATAGAAGAAGAATCATGATTGCGGTGTGATTTTCTTTAAATAAAGTTTGATTATATGTGTTTTGTATACAAGTGGATATTATTCAAATACCCTATTTTTAAAGATATTTTGTCTAAAAATTTTAAAAATATTATTATATTGTTGATTGTTGTAAATAAGTTATACATTGCCTTTGTGCATGAACAAATATTTATAATTTTTTAACAAGTTACATAATACCTTCAGACACGAGCAATTACTAATTGGTTATATATGAGGTGTGATTGCCCTCAAAATAAGAAATGAAAGTTTACCATTTTCTTAGAACTTCTTTGATGATCATATATGACTAGGAGATAAAGTTTATATATATGTGGTAGTCATCTTCGGCACAATGCACCATTTAACACATTATCTTTCCATCACTCGTGTGCATTAAAAATTGGGACAGAGTATTACATTTTTTATTCAGGAAAATAAAAAGTCATTATAAGTTTACCGATTACCTTGTTCAATCATATGATTATTAGATTTGATCATATAAAATACTTTAGATTTGTATTTATTAGAATTTGATAAAAATAACAGATTAATTAATCGATAAGAACCTATATATATGCAAAGGATCTCACTTAAATTTATGATAAATAATGTATTAAAAAAATAAAAATATATTAGAAGGAATTTTACTCCACAGAAATAAAACGCCGGCCGGATCGTGGACTAAATTGGTTCACATAGTAACTGTACAGGGCTTCAGCTACTCTGGGCTGGCCCAAAATATTAGTGCACTAAGCACCCCGCGCATGCTTCCCTACTACACCTACGCTTCTCCGCCACGGTCCGTTAATCCCCTTTGCCTAACTCTTCTTCCCATTTCCATTTGGAAGCAACAAGGTCTCAGGCGGAGGTGCAGCATTATTCGAAGCTCAATCTCGACTCATCGGCCGATTCACCTCCTAAGAGATTCTCGCTCTTCAATGGCCGATTCTCATTCTAGGTTCGTATATATACATGTATGCTAAATTTGAGGTTCGACCGTTCATTTTTTAAAAAAAAATTTTGGCGTAGCATTACTGTTTAACTTTAGCAAATTATATGTTTATGAATCATCAGTGTTTTTTTTCTTGTACTGGAAATTCACGTTGGGAATTTTTTTTTTTATTCCTTTTCATCAGCGTTGTGCTTCAATCTCTACACGACGGTGATGGTAATTTGGATTCGGTTAAACCGCAGTATGCGGAGATTATTGTAGTTCGTCACGGTGAAACTGAGTGGAATGCCGATAATAGAATTCAGGTGTGTCTGTGTCCATTCGCATGAAGAAAATATAATATTTTTTTGGGGTTAGTTGAGAATTTTGGGATCCCTGCTTTTTGAAGGTGTAGAATAGATTAATGTATTCCATTTCCATATGATTTGCGCATTAAAAGTATATTGTTGTGCTTCCTCTAGTTTCATGTGATGAGTTTTGCCCTCAACTTTATTTGTGTTTTACTAGGGACACATAGATATTGACTTAAATGAGGTTGGGAGACAGCAAGCAGTGGCAGTAAGTTATAACCTCTATTGGCATGTATTTCTATGCATATATATGTAAGTCTGACCAATTATTTTTGTTGAAGGTGGCTGATCAACTCTCCAGGGAGCCTAAAATCTCTGCTGTGTACTCATCTGATCTGAAGCGAGCTTTTGAGACAGCAGAGGTAATAGCAAGCTGCTGTGGTGGGCTTGAGGTATGGATTCAAAAGCAACTTTAAGAAATTGACATTCATTTGCACTTTGAATTTTAAATTCAATAAGGCCGTGGCATGAAATTACATTTTAAAATAACATGTATAGTGTACCCAATTTGATCATAAGAATGATAACATTTAGGTATCCAACATCAA